AGAAACAAATACCACGAACCCTAATGTGTATATATATATATATATATATATATATATATATATATATATATATATATATATACATATATATGCCATAATCTTGGATCGTATATACAGTGAGCGCACTGATTTGTAACACATGTGAGATAAAGTGAATAAGAGAATTACGTTCGTGAAAGAGAAAGATTGTATGAATGATACGGAGAGAAAGTCAAGAACGAAATGATAACAGAGAGAAAGAAAGAATGAAAGCGAAAGTAAGAAAGAGAGAGAGAGCGTGTGAGAGTGAAAAAGAACGTGTGGGAGTGAAGACAAGATTTTTGTACTACCCCTTCCCCTTCTACCCATTTCACCCGTAAATCAATTCCTGTTCTTCACTGGAGCATCCTCCGATTAAAGTAAAATTATACGAGTGTCTTTATTCTTACCCCTCGTCGAGAAAGATTTCGTGAGAACAAAAATTATATGAAGAATTATGGAGAGTATTCGCTTGACAGAAAATATCGCCTCGAATTTTTTACAGCGTAGCTCAATAAAAATGTTCGCATTCAATAATGTGTTCCCTGTCTATTTCATTCTTCTCTCGTATTACTGAACGTCAATGAAAAATATTCTGATCCTTTTCTCCTTCATTTAGTCTTCTGTAGCTTCTTCTTCATATATATTTTTTCTTTACAATTTCAACGTTTCAAATTGTTATCTTTATTATCTTTTTATCTTTATTCGCCCTGAAACTGTCATATCGTAATTTCGTTAATCGAGGTTTTTTTTCAAATTCTTCCAAATTCGCGCGAGATTTTAAATGAAACACCATTTCGTACCAATCAATGAATAGTAATTCATCCTTTAATTGAAAGTCTTTATTAGTTGATATCTGACTAAAATATTTACAGGAAGCATTGATAACAGTTGAAAATTTAAAGAATTACATGTGTAACATATGTTAAAGTAATTTCAAATTTCAAAGAAGAAATAAAGTAGTCCACTGATCAATCAATAAAATTTAAAAATTTAAAAGTGCGCTAAAATCTAGTGACTTTTTTTCTGGTCGGTATTTCAAACTCAGACACGAGGTCCCATTTCATGTCCAATCTATCCTATCTTTAGTCAATGGTTCCATTATTTTATCACTGCAATTTTGCATAATGATGATAGATTGAAGAGTATCTTAAAATTATAACTTCCTAATAGCTGAACTATTAATATAACTTCCTAAAATTGCTGAACTATTAATATTCAGACTAAAGGATAATCCTAGGTATAAAATATGAACTGCTTTCAAATATTTTACCCTAGGGATTTTATTCTATACCTTTTACATGTATGTAATGACACTTTCAGTTTCTTTGCTTGCCTGCATTTCTTTGTGTTCCAAACATTGATTGTTAGTTTATACAGTACAGAGGTAGGAGTTAAGTCATATTTTGTGTCAGCAGTAATATTTATTTGATTACGAAAAAATGGCAGACGATGATTTTGATGGAGACGAGTATGTAATATTTATTAAACTAATATTTTATATATGTACTTGTTTATTTGTTTTATGATTGATTTATATATCATTATTGATTGATTGATTGATTGATTGATTGATTTCTGTGATATTAGGTGTGAATTACATTTACAGTATAATGATTTTAAAGATACTAATAATTGATTTTTGGCAGATACACATAACCTAAACATAACTTAACAAATTAAACATAACATAAGATATCTAATAAATCACTTGAATAATTTAATATAAATTGACTTTTTTATAACACAGTTTGAATTGTAATAATAATATAAATAAAATTTTTAATATTAAGATGATTGAATTTTGTCATTTAAAGCGTAGTAGATGAGTTTGATGATGTGGATGATGATGATAATATTGAACTAGAACCTCAGGAAGAAGATGGAGAAAATATAGAGTTATTAACTACTGGTGAAGCTACTAGTGGAGTGCAGAGGTCTAAAAGAATTACAACAAGATATATGACAAAGTGGGTATATAAATCTGAATAAATAAATCTTTAATCTTAAAAGGAATGAAAGTATTTTTAATGTAATATTTTTGTTTGTAGATATGAAAGAGCAAGAGTATTAGGGACAAGAGCATTACAAATAGCAATGTGTGCTCCTGTGATGGTAGAATTAGAAGGAGAAACTGATCCATTGCAAATTGCAATGAAAGAACTAAAGCAAAGAAAAATTCCAATCATAATTAGACGTTATTTACCTGACAATAGTTATGAGGATTGGGGTATAGACGAATTAATCATAATAGATCATTAAATTCTGCTTTTAATTTTGTACATTTAAAATATAGCTATAAGAGAAGTAATGTAAGAAATATCAAAATCCTTTGGAATTTGTACTAATAAAAAGAATTTAATAAAAATATTATACGTGTACATGCATTTTTGTAATTATAAGATGCCTTGTAAAAAATTAATAAATAACACCCTCTATACTTGCATTTTGCACACTGTGCATTTGACATTTATTGACATTTAAATGACTAGTTGACATTGAAAGTATGATAATTGAGGTTAGAAAATATTCATGTTAAATTCAAATTGACAGCGAAAACAACTTTTATGTTACATAATTTTTTTAGTGTTTCTTTTCAATTTACTGGAGAAATTAATAAAATAAACATAGTGAAATATGAAAACATAAATTGTTTTATCTTGTCTACCGAATGCAAGAGTAGTAATGATAAGACTCTAAAATATGGTATACGTCACCGTATTCAATGTTTTCTTAAGTAATAATCATAGCAATGTATTTATTAACAGTTTTATTCGATGGAGTATGATATTATGAAAGCTTATTGAATTGTAATAGCAAAATGACGTGGTGAGTAAATGACATTACTCATAATTGTGTGTAACCTAAGGTTAGAGGTTATAATATTTGTAAATGACTTACAATAAATGCAGGAATCCTTTAAAGAAAAATCATTTAACACAGAGGCCTACACCAGCACAACCTTTATTAACCCATTCAGAAGACAGAGAGTTAGATATCGCTGTTCAAAGACTCATTTAGTATGTTTATTGCTACTATATTTGCCATTACTCTACTTAAACTTTATGTAACTGAAAAATTTATAATTGCTTTTTTCAAGTGTTGAAGATACAATAAGAAAATTGACAAAGGAAATGAAAAAGTACATAGAAGCAATAACAAATTTAGATCGTGCGGACCAAAGATTGACATTGAATCTAACAACTTGTGGCTTAGCACATCTTAATGACGAATTCAGGAAAGTGGTAGAAAATTATCATTCAGTGACGACACAAGTAAGTTTACATATTGTTCTATATAATAAGAATGTGTACTAGGCAATATCATAGAAATTTTGCATATTCTACAGATTGGAAAAACAGTGCAAGAAATGGCAGTTCTCTGCCAAAAAACTTTTATAGAACCATTAAAAAAGTTACGCGATGAATTCGTTCTGATAGCCGCAGCAATTGCTAAACGCGAGGAGCTACTAACAATCTGGAAATACTCTTATAATCGCGTTAAAAAATTGCAAGAAAAAAAGGATAGAACTGCTAGTCACATCGCGAAATTAGAAAGAGAACGCAGGGCAGAAGAGACAGCTGCTAAGGACTTGAAAACTGTACATGCTCAGTTACTTGTAGAATTACCCATGTTTTTAGACAAGAGGCTGGAATATATTAAACCCAGCGTACAGGCTTTGATCATGATACAATTAGATTATTATGGAAGTACAACGCACTTATTTACGCACTTAATGCCAATGCCAAACGCTTCAGGATCATCGCCCAGTACTATGATACCTGAAGATGAATATCAAGAAGCAGTGGCTAATCAAATGAATAGAATAAAAGCTCTTACAATAGTTAAAGATCATTAAGAATCATAAAAATTTGTCAAATAAATGTGTTAACAGAGTTACGATGATTTAAACACTGAAGAAATCAAAATCTGTAAAATTAACATAGGTACGAATGTATTTATCACATGGCAGTATTTACATTTATATTGTAAAAGTATAAGTAGATTTATGATGGTACCATTCCTTGATTTCGTTTCCACTGAGCACCAGAACGGCGATTATGATTAGCATGTTTCGCTTTCTTAACATTTTTTTGCTGCCTGTTGTATAAAACATTTTTCTCTTGCCCCTGACCTTTAGGATTGCCTGCACATAAGAAAATAAGACTTAACTGTAACTATATATTAAATTTTATTAAATATATTTTTATAAAAATAACATACCAACTACGTTCCCTGCAGTTTTTCCACTTCGCATTTGTCGTCGCTGTTCCGCTCTAGCACGTACCTCTTCTGGATTTTGTACAAAACAGTCTTTTCCGTTTTGGTCATTTCCTGTATTTTCGTCTTCTGATTCCGATTCACTTACAATTTCAATTTTCTGCTTTTCGCGAAGAATCTAAAATAATTAATCATTAATTTTTATACAGCTATACTATTACTATTAGTTTGTAATTAAATGTATGAATACAAACTCTTGGTATGGTAAAAGGTTTTAAATCTACTTCAGTTGAATCGTCCTGTGTACCACGTATATCGTTATTATCATAAGTATCGTCATACTCGTCATCATAAACATCTTCGACGAGGCTATAACTGTAACAAATTTTGTTTATATTTTTGTCATTTACAAATAAATATTTTTATACGTGTTATGTTTGTGATTCAGAATAATCATTCTCTTTGACTCCTTACTTTTTAGTTATGTATTCTTTCGGTATGTCTATAATTTCAGGTTTTTTAACATAAACATTATCATTATTATAATTAACAACCATGTTTAGTCTTTCAATATCATTAGTTATATCCTCAATTGCAGTTTCCTAGAAGAATAATAAAATTCACGTTATTTAATGCATTAATTGATATATCATAAGGCAAATAATAAAATGCTCTTACTGTATAAGTTGGTGGAGTATTAGATATTAATGGCGACCCCTTTTCCAATAACTCTTTTAATTCTGGTGGTAATGAATCTTGTAACACAGCATTTATTACAGCTGCACTGTCATAATTATAATACTCTAAACTCGACTACAAAATAAATTTTATTATATATATTTACGTAATTTTTTTCGTATTAAAATAATTACCTTAATAAAACCTTCATCTAATTGATGTAAAATATCTTTAACATTAGAAACAAGAGAAGCAAACTGAACAGAGTCCTTTGACATAATTTGTTTCTCATTCAAAGAATTTACATTTTCAGATTGTCCGAGAGTTGTCCGACTTGAAATGCCACTAGGTCCAGCTATTGGTTCCTACAAAAAATAATATTATGTAATAAGTTCATCAAAATACAGTTTACAAGTTGATTCTTAAACTTACGTTAGAAACGCTAGCAGATAGAATATTGGGCTTTCCAATAATTGCATTGACTGATTGTAAAATATAATCATATTTTATTATATCGCTAAGAATATTTGTTAAGTGCAAAAAGAGTTATATATATTTCTTAATTATTATTACGATTATAATCACGCTACGTTAAAGAAAGGATACTCGTCAGGACAAATATTAGATAATACAGTCAAGTCTGACTTAACGGGATAAAATTGATCATAATCTGTAATGAATTCTTTTTCAGAAATTGCATTGCTTAATAAATTAAAATATTCGTCCACCCGTTCTTTTACCTCTGCTTCCTTTATCGTATTTCTAAGTATAATGTCATAATTACATTACATTATGTATACATTGAATATATAAGATATAAAAGATATGCTTTGTAATTTGAATATTTGTATACTTACAAATTTTCTTGAATATTTAATATTGGTTCATATATAATAATACGAAAAAGATTTAAAATTTCGATTCTCGTTACGTCCAAACGATGCTTCAGTTCCACATATTTTGGCATATTTTCATCATTACATGCCAAGTTTTTTAATATTTTATACATTTCGGGTATTGTGCTTTCATATACTGAAACAAGTCTAATAAATGTTAAACGATAAAATAAATTATTAGGAACGCTTAAAACGAATAAAGACATTAATTTATTTAATTTAACTTACTTATTCATAAAATCCTCTATGTGAAATATATTCACTGCTGGAGGATAATTCTTTAAGAACACACTAATGGTTGATGATATATCTAGAACATATAATATCATATCTTCCAATTGAAATAATGTAAGTTTTGAAGAATTAATATTCTGCTTTGACAGTGAAACTGCTTCAGTGGTATAAGTAGAACAACCATCAAATTTTCTTTCAACATTTTCAAGGGCCTAAACTGACAACAACTATATTTAATTCTACCTTGATAAAATATTAATTATTCCACATATATTGTCTTTAATACTTCACCTCTATAAGACAGGGAACGGTTTTTTGAAGATCATTATTATACTGTGGTTCTAATGTAAATAAAGAGTTTAAAATTCTTTCCATTATTTTTGCATTTTCTCGACCGTAAAGTTGACAAAGATCAAAAATGATGGGTACTGTAAATATATACTTCTCATATAATAAATTTCCAAGAAATGGACGGTTCATATATTCTTCAGAGCTTTCCTTATTTGTGACAAGTCGTGCGAAAACTACAAGTACATAGTGACTTAATGTTTCTAGAAGTTCTAACATTTCTGGAGAATTTGGAAAATTTTCCAAAGCATAGAATGGTGGTGCATCTTGTAGAAAAGATACCAGTGTATCTAGTATTGAGGTATTGAATACAATGTTTGACCAAAACCTGAATAAAGTATAATACTCAATAGATATTGTTAATACTTTTGTTATATTAGTATTATTAATATTACCTATAAAATGGAAGACCAAGTAACCATTTTAAATCATTAATTATATAATTGACAATTTCTATCCATTGTTGTTTAGCTCCCGGAATTTCAAGTCCATCATCGTTATATATATTAGGAGTTTCATAGTGCAAGAAATAATGATTACTTGCCCATATTTCATTCTAAAATGATTATTACAGTTTATTTAACACTTATTTAACTCATAATTTCATAGATATTAATATAGATACATGAGAATGTATTAAAAAGTCATAAAAATAATGATTTGAAGACACAAGAAACTCACATAAGTTATAATAATAGTAAGTTATTATATAATAAATAAGTATTAATTAAAAATTTACTTAATATCCATAAACATATTGTTGTTTATATACATACCAAGGCATCAACACTTTTTACAACACCATTGGTTTTGATCTCCAATTTCAAATTTTCCAACGCTTGGCAGTCGGGATTCTGTTAAATAAATGAAAAAATTATGCAAATGTTGTATATTTAAACGTTTTATAACAAGTCAAATTGCTTTAACCTTCCACGATGAGGAATAATTTCATAACGCGACATTATATATAATCGTGGAAAAATTACCTTGTACGGATCCATGGTTTCATAAGATACATTTTCCGTCATAAATACTATTGATCGTTGCTAAACAACTGCAATCACAATCAGCTAATTGTTGAAACAAATTACAATCGTAACAATGCACGCAGTAAGCACGATTGTTCTTTCATTGACTAACCTATTTTCGTAAAATTGAGCATCGCGAAAGAAAGCTTAAAGTCGGAGAGTCCCGTACGTCTACAGTTTTATTACGAAATTGGTAACGCCGCAAGAGATACTGACAGTTATTTCTAATAACAAAACAAAATTCAAAATTTCTGTACCACGAAGGTTATGTTTTGAACATTCATATATGTATATGCCTTGTTATTAAACTTTCCTTGTCAACATTCATCTCACGGACGAAATAATTTAAAATTTTTGTACGATGTCCGAGAATGCGAAACTTCTTACTAGACCAAAAATAAGATTTTGTCAGACAGATGCTGGCAAATCGATAACAAAAGAATTAAAAAGCTCGACTGATCAGAATGGTGCCAAGCAATCACACAAACCGAAAATTCTAAGTGTAGTAAAATTAAATAAATCTGTTAAATTAGTAGATCCGAATAAGGTATCTAACAATGAGGAAAACAATTCAAAACTTGTTGATAAAGAATCGAATGCAAACTTGATATTATGTGCTAATGCACCTTCGACTTCAATTGAGACTTCATTTTTGAATGAAAATATTATTGAAACAGGAAATAAAATTCCCTTGAATGATGCCAACAATATTCAGAATATTAAAGCAAATAATTCAAATGAAACTGATTTGAAGAAAGAATGTACAAAAGGTAGAAAAGAAAAAGAAAATAAATCAACAATTAATAAGAAAGGGGTTAAAACTGTGACTACAACATCCACAGACCTGGACATTTTAAAACATAAAGCTCGACTGGCTTCTGCTAGTAGTAATACAAAAAAATATAATGTTACAAATAAGAAATCTAGCTCAATTACAACTAAGAAAAATTTGAATTCGAAACCTGCTGATGTTATGCCATGTTATAAATACAATAAAGTTGCACCCAAAATCAAAACTCCCATTGTTAAAAAAGTTATGATAAGAGATATAATTGGTTCTAAAATACAGCCTAACGTTGGACCAGGTGTATCACGCAGTCAACCAGATAATTTAAGAATTTTAAAAACAGATGAGAACATTCGTACAAAACCAATTACTTCTGGAGAAAAATTAGCAAAACCTGAATATAATTCTATTATATGTACAATTAATAAATTAAAAGAAATGAAGAAACAAAAAGTTGTAACTGATATAGAACATTTACCTACTTCATATAAGAATCTTATAAATAGCAAGGTAATAAAGAGAGTAATAGCTTATATATTATTACCTGATCACAGAATATCATTTTACGTTTCTTGTTTTAGATTTCTACTGTTTTGGATTTTCCTCTTGATGAGGCAGTTTATAAAGATTTGGTGGACTTATCCATAGATGAAAATCAATTGCCAAGCAGATTAACCCGTAGCAAAGATCCAGAACCAAGACAAAAAGATATTGTCCCAGTACTTTCTGACTTTTTTACACCCGAATCTACTGAAGAATATTGTATTCCTGTTTCTATAAAACCACGAACTCCAGAAACTGTGGATAGTTGGAATGCCTTTAGAATAAGTGATCAAATAAATGAATGGAAGCATATTTTAAATCACGAATAATATTGAAGTAGCATTTTTGTATTATATATAACTTATTTATTAATTGCTATTTGGAAAACACTTACTTTGGTAGATATTTTTTTTTTGTAAAATGTAAAGTATTTTTTATAATACTCATTAAATAAGATTGCCTTACAGACATTTTGTAGTATATATATATATATTATAGATTTAAACATGATATAAATGAATATGTACAATTAATTGTTTAATATATATATATATATATAATATATATATCTCATTTTTTTACGTGAATATATTTTTTTATTTTATAAATTGCATGAAGCACCAAAGATGTCATTATTATACGATGCATGTATAAAAAAGGAAAAAATATATGGTACATTTGGATTCAGTAATTGTAAGTAATTATACTGAAATGAAAGCTAAACTGAATTTACAATTTCATATATGGTAATAACATATACGAAATTTTTTTCACGAGTAATGTTCATGATTTTTAATAATAACATACAAGTATAATTGTTTTTCTTAGTGACTCGTGAATTTAGTAATTAAAACAGTTGAATAAATGCAATTTATCTATCAAAAGGATTTAGATTCTTATTATAATCATCATCATTATCCTTGAAGGGATTTGTATCCTCGTTATCTTTAAAAGGGTTAGTAATATCGTCGTCGTTGTCTTCGGAAAATGGATTTTTTGATTCATCATAATCGTCTGTTCCGAATGGATTCGATGGTACAATCGGTGTTTTTGGTGGCACATACGATTTCTGGACTGGTGATGATTTTGGTGTTGTACTGTTTAAAATACGAGCTTCCTTTATAGGTACTGGCACAGTTTTCTTAGAATTTCCCCATGAACTGGATATGTCACTGACCATGCCAGAGATATTTGCTTCTAACGATGAAGAGTACACATCTGATTTCGGATAAGAACGCAATCGGTCATCCACCGCGGTGTTGTAATTATCATGAGAACGACGACTTTCAATTTTTCCTGTAACAAAATGTTTGATTTATGCTAAGTATGATAAATGTAACTATATTTTGAAAAGTAATAAATTAATTCTTTCAATCTTTCGAAAGTTAACCGAGTAAAATTTTATTTACCTGATGTTGTATTTTTCCCTTCCATCAATCTGATTCTAGCTTCCGCTCCTAATCCATAATTCAATTTTGGTTCTTCAAACTTTGCTGCGGATAACATTTTATCGCTGTCTGTGATCACCATTAATTTTTTAAAAACTCCACGGCCAAAGTAATCGGCTACTAATGAAAATGGATCTTCTGCTCGATCTAATAAACTATGAAATGTTTCGTGAAGATCTCTCGATTGTTCCTGTGCTTTTATAATATCCAATAATTTTTTGTTATTTGGTAAACAAGCTGGACATTCATTTTCGTTCTCCGAGAAACTTTGAAAGCAGCTAAGAATAAAATCATATGTTAAAATATTACAGAAAATATTATTATATTTTATATGATATAAAATCTAAACTCACTGTTGATGATACGAATGCTGACACATGAAATGTACTGATGGAAGTTCTAATTGATGATGACATGCGCTGCAACGCGATCCTTGGAAGATTATAGTACTATTCTTAATTGATTCTATTTGTTCTCGTATTTTTTTAGTATCTGCTCGATACTTTTCAGTTAATTCTATATCTGCTTGTGTTTGTTTATGCTCTGTTCGTAACACGCTGTTAAAGTATGTTCTTACATCACCCAAGGTACAGGAAAGTGAAGTGGAAAGAGCATCAATAACCATTAACGGCGACAAAAGCCTTTCTTGAGCTGTATATAAATTTGTCTTTAAAAATATTATAACTAAAACGATTAAATTAAATTTTAAACATACCTATGTAGGCTAGTATGTCTGCAAGAAGTTTAGTTGGTGCTTCCTTATTTCTTGCGACACTCCACAAAGCTTGGATCCACAAATTTGGATCTTGATGTCCAAATCGCTTGCATGTAGCTAAAATTTGTTCACTATCTCCTTCACGCAAATGGAATTGTAATATTTCCTGGTATCTATATATAACATAATATAAATCATAAAATAAAATTTTTAAGCACAATATGAACTGTGTAAGTTATTTCAACTTACAATTTACTTTCTTCGTAAAGAAAAAGTAAACCACGCCTGAAACTATGCTGATGACATAAAATTAATATTTGGTCTTTATCGTAACACGCTTCCGAATTTTGCAAAAGTCGTACAATTTTCTGTTCATATTGTACCTTTGCCACATCATTATCTAAAGCTGACCAAACATGAAGATAATGTTCGACTAATGTGTTGTATACCAAAGTACTCCACCTGAATATCAAAACATTTAACTTGTAGAATACAAATTGAATTTTTATTTTTATCTATAGTGATATACTAACTTGGTATGTGTTTTTACTAGATGCTCTAAGAATTCTACAAGACGTTCTGAATTATTTAAAAACAAGTGAATAAAATCTTCTGGATTAGCTTTATCGATATGTTGGTCCACAATACCATCTAACGTTTCCTGAATCAAATATATTATTACAAGTGATATTGATACAAGTCTATTATTTATTAATCATCCGACTTTACCTGATCTACAAGAGGTTGATTAGAAGGCCTATAATTGGTACATAAAGCTTTTAAAAATTGCGTTGATTCATCTGGAACATTTTCTATGAGAATATTACCGTATTTTTTCATATTGGATTCTGCCTAAAAAATTGTTCGAAATTAATCAAGTAAATTAACTCTGAATATTATATAAACATACTTCTTCAAACTCTAACGTAGCCATATATTCCAATGCCTTTTTGTACTCATGCTTATCTTCTATTTGAATACGAAGATACCATTCGTGACGACCATGTTTTTGCGCAAGTAGCAAGGCATCCTCTGGTGATGCTTGACGGCAAACTTTTATTGCAATTTCAACATCGAAATCAACTTCTCTATCTTTTGTCTGAAATCATTACATAATATTACACAATTATATATAAATTACCAACTAATTTCATATCTAAATTAATGATGGCTTACCATGATGAATTCTTTTAATTTATCTGTATGATTAAGCTTCGTGTAACAATTTAATAATAAAGTTGTATGATCTTCTGTTGCTTGCCCATTTTTATGCAAAGCTTGCAAATAAGTAGTTAAATTATCTATATGTTGGGAATCTAAAAATTTTCTAATTACATATGATGGTTCTAACTTTCCAATAGTTTTAATGTATTGTTCTATTGCTCCATTATGATCTCCTTTTGAATATAAATGATCACCATACTGTCGAAATATATCGACTAGACCTTCGGCATCGTATTGTTGATTTTTAGCTATTCTAAAAATAATGTAACATTAAATTATAACTGAAATATTTTTAATAACTTTAGTTAAAAATCATTTACCTTATAGATATATCATATAAATTCTTCTTAAAAAGTAATGCTAATTTCGATTGCAAATCTTTTTCATCTAAGTGATAAAGCTTACTATCACCGCTGAGTATAAAAAACCCACCCCATTCTGATAGAACAGCTTGCACAGACAACATGGGAGCAGAAAAAACAATGAATTTGTTTTGTATGTCAAGTACTGTGATTACGTGTTTATCTACTCCTGGAGGTATTGGTTCTATAGTACTATAAACGCATATAATATATATTATATTTGTTTAATATAGACGTTATGAATATGTAAAATATTATTACCTCGGTTTTGCAGAAATGGTAGTTGATGTTCTTGGAACATTTGCAGCTTCTTTTGCTATAATAACTAAATAACTTCTGAACCATTCTAACATAATTTTTTGACCCTCTACTGCATAACAGGGACCTCTACCATCTGGTGTGTAACAATAAATTGCCTATTATAATAAAAATTTATTATTATTAGTAAAATGATATTAGATATATTGTATAATGAAATTCTATTAATGTTATTACATCATTACGACCAATCATGAAATGACTATCTTGCATGGATTCTGCAAGAACATTACATTTTCTGGCACAACCCATAGTATCTAAGGGAGATTTAAATTCTTTATCCTTAATAGTAACATTATATAAGAAAACACTATTTGGTGTAGCAACAAATAAATGATTTTGTTTGCCAGTGGACCTTATTGCTAAACCAGTAATAGAAACATTGGTATCTTTCAATACTTTTATCTTGTTTTTTCTTTCTCTAGTTAAATCACCCCTAAGAATTGAAAAGTGTATATTAAAACATGTTTGGAAATTATGAGATAATTGCTTTATCAAAATTACTTTTACCTGTAGAGCATAATAGAGCCATCTCCAAAACCGACAGCCATTAATGTAAGACTAGTGTGCACACAAAGAGCAGTTGCAGGAACTGCTCTGTAACTTGGTATAGCTCTACTTATACGAAGGCATGTTGGATTGCCTTGTTTGTCTGGTTTAGCTAAATTCCAGACCTTTATAGTAGGGTTACAACCTGGTTCATCCTCCTGAACAAACACAGTTTTCATCAATAAGAAATATCTCTGCATAAAATGTGTAATAGTTGTACTAGAATGTACTAACGCCAATAGTGAACAGAAAAGTGGAATGTTGGACTTGCTGAGCTAACGTCAATGTAAAATCATAAGCACGAAATGTAGTAACGTCGTACGTCCTATTCACTAAATGCACATTGCCGGTATAATCGCCAAACACTAGAGTCCCGTTACCGCTTGTAGCTGCTGTCACTTGAGCATCCTAATCAACAGAAAATATGATATACATCAAACACGATATCCTTTATCTATACTCAAATATCGTGTATGAGAATATCGGGTTTGAATCCGGGGTAACTCACACCAAGTGCTGTGGCTATTTTCCCACCGTCGACTTCTTTCTTAAGATCGAAAAAATTGAACCGCCTCCACTAAAACACAAGCGTGTTCGTGTAAGAAAAGTGAGGTTAAGTACAAGACACAGAAACCACGATACATAAAATGCTTTAGTAAAATGTGAGACCAACCTCGAGAAATGCCATCGTGTGCCGCGATTATCTATTTACACATCTGCAGCGAAATATTGTTGACACAACGAATGAACAGCACGTTAGAGCTGTTTCTTTTGACAGTTACCTGATAGCACTCAGCTGCACACTCGCCATCTTTTCACCTACATTTGATCAGCTGATTATGACATGTCTTCGATTGTGCGCATGCGCATACGAACACACGTGCTTTTTACCGGCAGCATCGTTGCGTTTAGCTTGCCCCATCTTTACAAAGATGTCAACAGAGTCGTTTGAAATCGTGCGCCATCTGTGTGCAACATTTACTACTAAATTCGAAATTTAGCGCGTTTTAGAATTGTTACTTATTTACTTGACTTTTTAATACATAATTTCTGGAATTTAATCTATTAACTTCTCTAGATTCTGCAGAAAATAATCTTAAGATCTCAAAAGAGATCTCTAAAGACCTCAAAAGGAAAGGAAAATAACGAATGCTCTGCCTCTATTTAAAAACTAAATTAAATTAAAATTTTCTCTATTACCTTGGCATTGAAATTACCCTTTTCGTTAAAATTTGGAATAAAAATGGTGAAAATCATTCGGAGAGGAGTCATAAAACACTTTGCAAATGCAGAATGCCGTGGCAGTACTTTTTAACGTTTGGGGCACTTGAACTTTTTCATTTCATTGATCTGAAAATTCGTAACGAACTGCTACGGCTTTCCGGATCGCCGATCTCGATTAGTAAGACGTAAGTTTTGTTATATTTGTTAAAAAGGACGAACAGTTAGTGTCGATGATTGGGGGTCGGGGGTTTTGTTTTACAAGGTCTGTCCGCGCAAGACAGTGGGAATCAAGAAGAAATGGTCGCGAAAAACTCTGAAAATCGATTATGAATACAACGCCGGTTTCCTTTCTTTCTTCTTTCTTTCTTTTCTTTTCTCTTCTTCTTTTGTTTTCTTTTTACGATACTCCGCATCACCAAACAATCAAGGACCAAGAAAGACGCAACTGCCGCTCGTTATCCCTCTTTAGTCCCTTATAAATTCCGCTAACTCGCTCGCGGATCGTCGTTCTTCGTCCTCGAGTAGGATTCGCTGCAACCAATGAGGCTTCTCTCGCGAAATTCGTACAGGAAAGCGTTCTTCAAGGAGCTTTGTTTCGTCAACGATTTTTATAAAGACTATCAGAGAAACCTTCTCGAGAAGAACGACTTCTTTGATTCCTTGTACGAATTTCGTTTCACGAAAATGCGCACGAGCATCACCGTCTATCTACCTCATTTTTTTCCCTCAATTCTCCTCCTCTTCTATTTAGCTTTGTAATTATTCTTTTGTACCGTTGTCGTGCTCGCGCTTAGAAAGAAAACGAAAAACGCACGGTTCCTCTATTTTTTGTCTTTTCTTTTTTCTTTTTTTTTTCTTTTTTTTTTTTTAATTCAGTCTGCGATCGTTTCTTGTTTCAGGACGAGCAACGTTCCGTGATCTCTTTTTTTACTCTTTTTTCTTTTTACTATAATATTCAAAACGTGGAACGATGATCGTCTCGCTTCGTTGTATCACGATGCCGACAGTTTATTAATTAATAGAACGAGTTTCGTCGCTGTTCCTCTCGTTTTAATATCTATCTATCTGTTCTGTGGGGAATGGGTTCCTGATTTGTTCGCATTCAGGGATCGGAAAATTACTGGATTTCACGGCTTTCTTTACATTCGAACGACGAGTTCTTGCATGTGGTGTCGTTAGGGGGATGAAATCTGTAGCGTGGATGAAGACTGCGACATAGTGAACTCGTAAGACCTTGATCCTTCGAGTTCTCTACACTTCGAGAGCATGTTCCATGTGTAAATGCTTCCGTTCTTATTTTATTCAATTATATTATAATTATAGTAATCATTTAACCATTCTGATTAAGAACAACGAACTATGTTGAATGTATTTTGGATTATGAAAGGATTCAGATTCGAGGATCATGGTTTTCTTTTTTCCTTTATTTTCCTTTTCCTTGAGATTGCGAAGTGCCTCTGGCTTTCAACCAACGTATTTTATTAATGAAAAATTGTTACATGCACCGTGAAGATTCGTATTAGACGGACTGCAATAATTTCAGATGAATTTTCCACTCCTTTCGTGAAAATATTCCATCAGTCGTGGTAGTCGGTTGTCAAGGGAAAAATTGAATAGCTTCTCTTCTCTCGAAGTGATGCCCGTTTTTCAAAACGAACATTTCGCACTTTGTAATTTTTGTCTCAGAATTCACCTGTCGCAGTTTATGCTGTCACTTCCCTTTCTCTTCTACACGAGTTGTAGTACATCTAATCTATCTTCTCTTTCTTCGACGTATTCTTAAATAATTAATATTGCTGTAAAACATCGCGACTGTAAAAGAACTTTGTCATGGAATTCTTTCTTCGTTTTTGTTGTTTCTTGCTGTAACACTTTCATTTTCGACTTGTATCAATATTAAAGAAATACATAAGATTAAGTTACTATAAACTGTTCAGGAACTACGTCTGCATAATTTTACACAAAAATAAAATACACGGATCATAAAATTACACAGAGTAGACAGATTACAAATTTTTAAAATTATAAAATTCCACGGATATTAATTTTTCAAATTATTCGGAAAATTGCTGTGAATACTTCTCTGGTGAATGAGCAAAGAAGCACAAGTCTAAATTATTAATTTTTTTTTTTTTAGAAAAGCACTTGTAATAACATTTAAATTAAAAGTGCAGCGTAAGATCAAGCTTTAAACACGTGAAACTTGATGATATACATCTTGTCTTATTACACTTGGCAAAACCGATTTTTTTTTCTCAAATATAATGATTCGTCATTATTTTAATCAAAATTTGACTTGTACTCTTCTGCACAGTCAGAGGTATAACACATACTAACGTGCTATATGTTATTAAAAGAATCGCCGCTTGCAAGTTCACGATACTTTACAGCAATATTAAAACCGAACCAGTCAATTATTCCATTCACTTTCCCTCCCCCCTCCCTCTCTCTCTCTCTCTCTCTCTCTCTCTCTCTCTTCCATTTCTCTGTCTCTCGTGTTTTCTCGATCTGCCAGGGGATTAGGAAACACGGTATTCCTCGACATTCTTTCACCATATTCTTTTTATTCTCGGGGCTCGGGCGAGGGACGATCAGAGTAAACGCGAAAAAACTGTGATCTTCTGTCGAAACTTTACAGATGTAATTCTTACTCTCTATATAAACTATTAAACAGAGTGTACGCGTGTACCGTATGTGTATGTGTACGTGTACCTGTATGCACGAGACCATGTAGTATGTATCTGAGTACGCGTGTCTGTGTTTCTTTTAAAACCGTTTTCACGAATACGTTGCAATCGGATCTCGATCGTTTTCTTTTTCTTTAATCATGTCGCTTTCTCTCTCTCTCTCTCTCTCTTTCTCTCTCTTTCTTTCGTTTCTCTCGCTCTCGTTCTCTCTTATCAAACATTTAATTCATATATAATATATCTATATTATATATCTATATATATACTTTACAAACAGGAAACGATTAGACGCTAGGGCATCGCGATTCGCCCGAAAATTCGCCGGGTATACCTTTTAAAATTGAGAATGGACCGGACACAGAGGGACAACATCGTTTCAATTTTTCAACTCGCCAAGAAGCTTCTCAATTAATGTTCATTATTACAAGAAGCTTCTGCCGATTGTTCGCCCTCGCGAGAGCTTCCGAATCAGTTCGCGAATTCGTTCGTAAAACGGAAGTTAATGGAGACTCAATGTTCGAAAAGGGACACCCGGTTGAGACGCACGCACGCACGCACGCACGCACGCACGCACGCGATCGCGGTCTTTTTTTTCCTTTCTCGCTCTCTCATTTATCCTCTCTCCCCATTTTTCTTTTTTTCCATTTTTCTTCTTTTTTTTTTTTGTCATTTTGTTCTCTCCTTTTTCTTTCAAATGGCTTAAGGATGCACTTCATTGTAAAATACAGTAATATCCCGCGCGCGTTTCTACTACCGTATAAGTATATCCGTTTAGAGATTTGTTCTTCATATTTTCTTTCATTTCTCTCTCTCCCTCTCTCTCTCTCTCTCTCTCTCTTCATCTCTTTTTTTTCTCTCTTTGTTCTCTTTGTTCTCCGTAAATTTATACAATAAAATATCACAGTTCTGTTCGTACCACGCAATATATAATCAATATATTGTTTTTCCCTTAACGTTGCCTACGTGAGAGTCTCTCTCTCTCCCATCTTCTCCACATTCTCGTTCGTTCGTTCGTTCTTTCTCTCACTGTCATGCATCGTTCACTTACACGGTCGTTTTTTGTTTTATTATTCATTCGTACAGACAGGCAGACACGCGCGAGTTTTATATGACCCATTCTCTCCTCGCGAAATTGACGATTTATACAACGAGTATAGTTGCAGCGAAGAGCATAAGCGAACCAGTAATCACAGGTTTTGTATAAATCCTTTCTTATTGCTAAACCGCGGATGTTTATGCAAATTTAGACTTTCGTGTGTATATCGTTGTAGAAGTAGAATCTATAAATGGAGATTGCTTTGTATATATATTTATATAAAGAGTGCTTCGAATATCTTACGTATTTACTTTTATACACATTCCGCTCATTCTCAATATCTTTGTACCTTGAGATTTCCAACAAAATGCAAGTTTATTTATTAAGATGCGCAGAAAATGAATTGACCGAGGCGAAATTTGTTTTGTTGGGTTCTCAACGTTGCGCATGTTCTTCTTTTGAAGTTTGTAAGAAAGCATGGCAATTTTAAAATTCAAAAAAATTTTTGGAACCAAGCTGCGCGTTTAATGGACCCACGATAAATTCGCTTTTATATCGTTTCTCTTCCTTCACGCGTGTCTTTAATGAAAAATGTATGAGTAACAGATCCTTAAAATCTTATCAATTTTGTTGATGCATATAATAACTTAGATCAAGAAATTCCGAGTCGTTAGGTGTTTAATTATAATAATATTGAAAAAAATCAATTGGGGATGTTCATTCATTCTAGTTTCTTCACAAGATGGCACATTTTCAATTGCATTTAATCAATTGTTCTGTAAAAATATCTTTATATACGTACTAATTTATTAGATCATTCATTTGAGGCAAGAAACCAATGTAGACAAAACAATCATATTCCTACAACGTAGAAAATAATTGAATATTTAT